AAAAAACCCTTCGAATAATAATAATAGTAATAATAATAATAATAATAATTTTTCCCCTTTTAGGAAAACATGATATTTTCAAAATATTCGCATACGTGTATACACGTATGATCACGTGACTTCTCCTCTCACATGTTTCACGCTAACATTTTGAACTCTAACATGTTTTCCATACCGAATCCTTTCGAGTTAGTTTCTTTTTTTTTAATAATAATAATAATAATAATAAAAATTATGTTTATGTTTTTATTTTTATGTTTGTCTTACTCTCGATTCGTATGAGATAATCGCGGACGACACTTGAATCGGGTTGACCATGCCTATCGTAAAAAAGTGTACCATTACCGAACGTTATGCCTAAGGGATCGATATCGGCAACCAAGTGACCGCGCACCTTCAAAACAACAATCAATAAATAATAATAATGATGATAATGATAATAATAAAAAACTGAAAGAAAAAAAAAAAAAAAAAATGTATGAAAATGAGTAAATGAAAATGAATGTATAAAACGGCGATGAACCTAAAATAATAATAATAATAATAGATATAGAAAAAAATGAATCAATGAATGAATGAAATGCTGCTCTGAAAAAGATGTACCTGACCCAAAAAAAAAAAAAAATTGAACCGATCAATAAATCAATAAATCAATCACTCATTATTAACTTTTTTAAATAAAAAAAAAAAAAAACCTGAAAAAAATTATTAATAATAATAATAATAATTATGCTCGCGGCGTGAATTAAAATTTTATCATTTGAGGTAATGATAATAATAATAAAAGGTGTCCGAAAAGGTGGTGGCAGAAAATTTTTGTTTACAAATAAAATTTAGGTACTTCAATGAGAGAGAGAGTGAGAGGAGAGAGGAGAGAGAGAGAGAGAAAATTCATTAGTAAATTTATAGGGCGATAATTTTATATATACCAGTACATGGCCTTTTGAAGGCCATATGTATATATCTCAGGGACCTTTGGTATTACAAAAATAAATTTAAGTGGGCGAACTCAGATAAATATAGATTTACAATTAAATTATTTATAAAAAAAAATTAAAAGGATTTCAATATGGTCTCCTTCATCTTCTTCTTTTTAAATTAAAATTAAAAAAAAAAAATTTTTTTTTTTTTAATCATACCTGATAACTTCTAATTATTGCCTGTACGGCTAAATGATCGTCAATTATTTTTTCATTTATCGTCGAACCGCCAAGTCCGGGTAAACCACCACTGACAGGTAACAATCCTGAGAGTGGATATTCATTAGCACGAGGTTCTGCTAAACTTGGTGGTCCTTGATAAGCTTGTCCAGGTACGGCGCCGCTGGAAGACGAACGAAAGAATGCATCCCAAGACTAAGACAAAAATAATAATAATAATGATAAACCATTTTTTTCTTTTTATTATTATCTTTGCCGATTAATTTTAAAATTTGTTATGATACTCACAACGTGTACAGACTTAGGATCAGCTAACCATGCATTGTACATTTCTTCGACGTAGGCTGAAGAACTTCCATTGAGAAATGGTTCTGCAACACTTGGAGCACTATAATGTCTTTTATGTGTCCAAGTGATTCCATTATTAGAAGCTGTGCTTTGTAACAACCATGATCCAAATTTTTCAAATTCACCTCCACCAGGTAGTATGGGAGTAATTTTATTTAGCACCAATCGAGCTCTATACATTTTAAAACTTTTTAATCTGAAAAAAAAAAAAAAAAAAAAAAAAACAATGTTAGAAACAAAAAAATCTTATCTTTATAATTACAAATGTGATAAACCTTACAAAAAAAAAAAAAAAAAAAAAAAAACATGACAGTAATTTTTAAAAGAAAAATAAAAAACATTCATAATTTATGATTAAAATGTTTTGTTTTACCTTTTTTTTTTTTTTTAAAGATAATTAAACTCGATTTTAGGTTAAAAAAAAAAATTGCCAATGTTTTCCCTATGTAGAAGAAAAAAAAAAAATTATCGACTCATGACTCAGAACACAATAATAATAATAATAATAATAATAATAATAATAATAATTATGGTTTCATGATGATGTAATTAATACAAATTTTTTTTTTTTTTTTTTACAAAGTACATTCACCTACTTAATAAATCACATATTTCGAAATGGTAAGGAAAATAACTTAAATTCAAATTTCCTTTTTACTAATTCATACTAATCAATTAATACTTTATGATTGGCTTATTAATAAAATAAAATAATAACTTTTAAATTTAAATTAATAATTAGAGTTCTGAGAAAATTACAAAAATTTTTTTTTACCAAAGTTTACATACAATTAGGTATCGTAAAGTGTTTGCCGTCATCAGGAGGGGAGACACGAAATGAATTTTTTTGTTTTTGTTTTTTTATGTAAACTTAATAAAAAATTTTCAATAAGATTTATAATAATGCATCTCTAATCAGTTAATTTTATTATAATATGTGTTTAATTTGATAACATAACCTCAAATTTAGAAACATATGTTTTGGAAAAACTAAAGTGGATCATACAGATACAATTCGATATCATTAAATATGGATGATTATGATTGGAAAAATTAAAAATTTGATATCGAACCGAATAAAAATTTCCTTTTTTTTTTAGCTAAAGGAGATTTGTAATAGTTATTACAACTTATGAAAGTTTCTCCCTCATATTACTCTTTTAAATAATATTATATCATTAATGAGGATTTGAAAAAACTCGAATTGTAAGATAATTGTATAAAAGTTTATCTAGAACAATTTTAGGGCTCAAATTTTATAATTTGTGATAAAAAAAAAACTTCAAAGTATTATTTAAATTGTTGTGATAGGTTAGGTTAGTCCTTGAATCATGTCATGTATGAAATTATTTTAGGGCAATCATAATTAATTATTTATTAAAAAAACCCCTTTTGAATATTAAAATTATAAAAAAAAAAATTTTAAAATTTGAATAAAACTGTCTCTAAAAATATAAAATAATTAATGCGCAAGGCTATTTTGTAAGATGACGGTGCTTTTCAATGACGAAAATCGATTTCATGTAGGTCAAGTTTATCAAAAAAAAATTAAAATTTAAATTTTTTTTATTATAATGTAATGATTTGAGTTAAAAACAAGACTCGGTAAAATATAACTACTAACCTTTAATTTGAAGTGTATTTCGATGCTGTAAGAAATTAAAGAAACGGTTCTTTAAAATGATGTAAGATGGTAATTTTTAAGTCAAATCCTACGAACAGCCATTTTTTTTTTTAACAAGAATTTCGTACAGGGTGACCAACTCTAAAGTGTAAAAAAATCATACGCCTAAAAAAAAAACTGTTGGAATTTTCCCGCCATTTTGATTTACAACAAAACAAAATGAATTAGTTTACACATTGAGAGATTTCTTATTAAAATAACTTTTTTTTTTTGTATTTTCTCGTTAAATTATATAATAAAACATCTTATTAAACAATCCTTAAAGTTTATAAATATATTTTTTCGATTAAAATTTTATTAACAAGATAGGCAAATGGCGACATAACCTGTACTAATTCTTGCCTATGTTCAAATTACATATAAAAACATTTGACTGACATAAAAGTTTTCTTTTTGGAAAATTAAACAATATTTGGTGTTATTTAAATTAATCACCTGATTAAAAAAATACCTAAAATTATAAATAATTAAAAAATTGTTAAAAATATCTTAAGCACAAAACATTTTTATCAACATCATGTAACTTCTAATGCTTCAAAATGTTACATTAAAATTATATAAAATTTTACAATAAATATAATTAAAATTATTGTTCTAGAAGTTACTAAAGACTAAGAAAAAGAATCAAACCCTTAGAAACAATCAATAAATGGAAAAAGATTTGCAAAAAATAAAAATTTAATCAATATTTTTTTTTTAAAACAAATATTCATTGTTTGTTTATCATTATTTCGGACATGATTAAGAGATAATTATACATTTCCTTTGTTTTCTTTTCTTTTCCTTTAAAATAAAATATTTAAATTAAATATGAGTTAATTTTTCTAAGAAAAAAATTTAATTACTAAATACACTTTTCATTCTTTGTAAAAAAAAAAAAAATGTCTATTCTAACATCATCATCATCATCATCATCACTTTTTACACTCAATATCAAATACAAACAAAGAAAACGTCCTTCCATATTATTATTATTATTATTATTATTATTGTCGCAACAAAATATTTCTCAGTTTCAAAACAAAAAAAAACGGCAAATACTTATTATTATTATTATTATTATTTCTTTCTTGATATGATATTAAAAGCATTCGATGATGAAGAAAGAAAAAGAAAAAAACGTGCTTCGATTGATCAATAAAAAAAAAAAAAAGATTGAGTTCCTTTTTTTTTTTTTTTTGTTATTAAACACGTCGATTTAATATTTAATAATAATAATAAAGAAAAAAGAAATTTAAAAAAAAAAAAAAAAAAAAAAAAAAGATTTCTTTCACTGCAAGGTTGTTAATGGCGGCGGTGATGTGACGCCATTTTGAATTCGATTCGCTCATTTTAATTGTAAACAATGTAAAATTACGTGAGATTGTTTGTTTATATTGATATATGTTTAAACGATTAAAAATATTTTGCTAATGAATCGATTTTTCCCCTCCTCTCTCCCCACTCTCTCTCTTTATTAATAATCATTTTTTTAATTAATCAATCAATGAAAGTTTAATAATAATATTTATCGATAATAATAATAATAATAATAATAATAATAATAATAACGAGAAAAACGTTAATATAAATTTTTACTTTTTTTTTTTTAAACAATGCATCGATGTTCGATTGTTTATAAAAACGTTATTATTATTATTATTATTATTATTTAAACAACAAACATTAAGAAATATTGCTGGGTTATAATTTTTTTAAATAAAAATATTTTGTTTAATAAAAAAAAAAAAAAAAAATTTTTTTATGCACGTACACACGTGTGTGTGTGAAAAGGTTTTTGTTGTCGTTTTTTTTTTTTTTTTTTTTTATATTTGAATGAAATTCATGCAAGGTTACGATGATAATTTGATGACAACAAACAACAACAAACAAACATGGCCGATCGTTATCATCATCGACACTTTAATTGATTTAACATAATAAATAATTCGCAACAGCAGCAGCAACAGGAGCAGAAGCTGCCATTTTTTTTTTTTAATTTTACAACAAAAGAATTTTATTTAAAAAAAATTTATCGATTTCGTTTGTTTCTTCCGCGTTTGTTTTCACACACGACAAACATAAGGAAATTGTTTTTTTTAAACAAATAATAATAATAATAATAAACGAATAATAAATCGTTAATGATAATTCCCAAATTATCTACCCTGACACTACATTTTGATAATTAATTTTTAGAGAAAGATAGAGAGAGAGAGGAGAAATAATAATAATAATAATAATAATACGATGGTGAGTTTTCTTTGTTTTATATAAAATTAAACTTAATAATAATAATAATAATAATAATAATAATAATAATTGCACTTAAAACTAATTAACAAAAATGTGGCTAAGAAAAAATTTGATTTGTTGTTGTTGAATCTTGTGTTATTTCATTATTTGATGACGCCATATTAAATAATGATTGATCGTAATTATTTTGATAATTTGTGGTTGTTGTGATTGTTGTGGTTGTCGTTTGTACTTCTTCCGAATTTATATTTTCTGTATTTGTTGTCGTTGTAATATTTGTTACGGTGTTATCGTCATTTTGAATATTATATTCGAACGTATCGTTTGTTAAATTTTTATCAGTGTTTGTTGGATATTCGCTTGTGTAAAATTCTTGTCCCGATGTTTGTTGTAAATAATTTGTCGTTTCATCGTTTGTTTGATATAAATTTTCCGATGTTTGAGTTATTTGAACGGGGGAAAACGTCGAGGATTCTTCGATGGTGGTAAAATCATTATTCGATGTTTGTTGGAAATTGTTGTTGTCGGTTATCGCGTTAAACGAATTTGTAGAGATGTCAGATATGTTGTCCGTTACGGTCGATTGTGTTTCCGTTTCCGGATTTTCACACATGGTTTTAACGAATGTTTTTTCGGTACTTCCGTTTCCATCGGGTACGTATTCCATTTTAGATGTGACTGAATTTGTTTGTTCCGATGGATTTTTATCAATTTCGTTGTTTGTATTTTGTTGGATCATCGGATTCGTATTGTTGGATTCTGTGTGTGGCATTGTTGATACCATGGTATCTTCGACGGTTGTCGTAGCCATTGTTGTAGTCGTGGTTGTTGTTGTCGTCGTCGTAGTAGTACTCTTCTCCGGTTTTTGATGTTCTTGTAAATTGTACGTTGAAAAATACGTTTGAATTCTTTCGATGAGTTGTTCGATTCTCGGTGGAAATCTCGATGGTAGCAATGTTATGGGTGTCTTTAAAACGGGTATCGTATTTTTATCATTTATCGGTACTGGTACTATATGTATTTGATCCGGAGGTCCTTCATTCGTATAAAATCTAACTGGTTCGAAATATTGATATGGATAATTTAAAGGATTTGATTTTTCCGGTGGTGGTGGTGGTGGAGGTGGTAAACCTTCATCGTGATAATTATCAGAATATTCATCTTCAATATAGATTTTACTTATTTCGTCCGGATATTGCGGTGGAGGATCTTCTTCTTCTTGTATTATTATCGTGGGAACATTTTTATCATCCCCCGTTTTAAATTTATTCGATTCGCAACCTGGTAATCTTAAAACCGTACGTAAAATATTAAAATTTTCTTGTGACGGTTCGATGTTCATTTTAAGTGATGGTACGGCAGGAGATGACGTCAAAGGTTTTACGGGTTCGGATTGTGGTGGTCCCGAAATTGGATACGATTGTGAATATTGAGAAGGTTTCAAAGGTCCGAAAGATCCTGGAATTCTCGTACGTATCGGTGGTGGTGCTATCGGACGTAGGGGTAATGAAGGTTGCGGTGGTGGTGGTGGTGCTATCGGACGTAGGGGTAAGGAAGGTTGCGGTGGTGGTGGTGGTGCTATCGGACGTAGGGGTAAGGAAGGTTGCGGTGGTGGTGGTGGTGGCGGCGTAGGCGGAGGAGGTAATGGCGGTGGTATTAGAGGTACCCGTCTCGACGGTTGAAGACTTTGAAATTTTTTTATCGGTCTTATTTCCTGATAATTTTGATAACGATTTTGCGATATCGATAATTCGGGTAACGGATAATTTTTTTCGTATTCAACGGTTGGAGATGATGGAATAAATTGCGGATTAGAATAAGCCACGGGTATGATTTGTGTAGGTTCGTGATAAAAAATAGGTCCAGGTTGAGCAAATGGTGTGACTATGTTAACAGGATAAAAAGCTCTATTTGTAAGAAATGGATTTCCTATTAAATGTGGTCGACAATTAACAAAAACAAAGAATCCACTCGAGAATCCGATTATTATTATTTTTAACAAACATTGTATTATTTTCTGAAAAAAAAAAAAAAAAAAACAAAAACATATCATTATTATTATTATCAAAAACATTAAACGAAATGAAAAACCGTTAAATATTTCCTTTTTTAAATGTTTATCCAAAAAATTATCAATAATTTTAAAAATATAAAAAAAAACGATTCTTTGTCTTCTTCCACTTTAAATATTTTTTATAAACAAAAACGTCATCATAAAAAAACGGTTATCAAAATAAAGAGAGAGATTATAATAATAATAATATGACATTAAAATTTTAAGTAGAGTGTGTACCTGGAATAAAAACCAACCTTTTTTATCGTTAATCTTTCTAGAAAATGTCGTTATTAACAAAAAAAAAAAAAAAATTCGAGTTTTAAATTACGTTCATGATGTATATAAATATCACCATATTTTTTTCCCCTAACGAATTATTTCATTTAAAAAAAGAAAAATTAATTTTAAAAACGATAAATTTCAATAAATTTATTAATAACGGCAATTATTAATAAATAATAAAATTTTAATTAATAATTAATAAATTTATTAAATATTATTCCCTCCCTTTAAACGCTTTCTTACACCACAAACGCAACATAAATAAAACGATCGACTTACGGTTACCCGAAAAAAAGCCCGCGAAAATTTAAAATTTTTTGTTTCGAAACATTTTTCCCGCGTTTTTTTTTTTACCCCTTCGCATACTCGCGAAAATTTTCCCTCGTTCCTTTTTTTTCAAAACGAAAAAATTACCGTTAAACATATTTATTTTTTTATTTTATTTTTTTTTATAGATTTTATTAATTTGTTAAAATAAAATAATAATAATAATAATAATAATGATAATAATTTACCTTCATCTTGTGTTTGCAGCGAATAAAAAAAAAAAAAAAAGAAAAAAAAAATTTTTTTAATAATAAAACGACATGCGACGACTTAACACTTTAACTGTTCTAGCAAGAACTGAAAGAGTAAGAAGGTAAATGACATACAAGTCTCAATATAACAACAACAACAACAACAAACGAAATAGCTGTATCTTTAACAGTATGATGACGTCACGCGAGTTCCGCACCTTGAGTCTTAACTACAACAACAAAAACAACTACAAACATCATCATCATCACTACTACTATTAGAATTAAATCTGTACCATTTTATAAAGAGATAATATGCGTGTATAACAATCCATCGATGATAATGATGATAATTTTTTTTTTCTGTGATTCACTTCCGGTTTGTGTCGATCAAGGGGTACGGGGGGAAAAACTTTTTCTTTCTTTATTTCGGAGAAAAGTATGACGTCATCCGGACGACGTGTATCTTCTTTTCGCATATTAACGACCGTTATTATTTATTTATTTATTTTTATTTATTTATTTTTTTTGTAATTAAAAATGTAATGGTGACGTTGTCGTGGTTGTTGTTGTAGTTAATGACACGATCAAATCGAGTTAAATTAAAAATTATTTAAGTAAATATTATAAAATTTTCTCGTTCGTATTGGTTTTTTTTTTTTTAACGCGAACGACGAGTTTAGGCTTTCATTTAAATTAACCTTCGTTTTATTTGTTTATTAAATTATCATCATCATCATCATCATCATTATTATTATTATTATTATTATTTGTTAATAAATATTTTCAAAGTCACAATTTTATTTATACAGACCCAAACGAAAAAAATTTTTTTTTTTCGTTTGTTTTGTTTTTTTCCAGAAAATAATTTTTTTTTATTTACGAAATTTTAATAAAAAATTATCATCATCATTATTATTATTAATATTATCATTAATAAACAAATTGAAAATTTAAATTGTTTATTTATAAATTTTTTATAAATAAATATTGTTCGTTGAACTTGAACTTGAAAATTAATTTTTTATTAAAAAAAAAAACAGGTTGTGAAAAAATTTCGTTTTAAAATAATAATAATAATAATAGTTTTTTCACCGGATAAAAACGAAGGGGGCGGGATGTGAGGTGAGGGGAGGTGGGAGAATGGAAGTGGAGGGGAGGGGAGGGGCGAAATTTCTATAAAATTCAAAAACCTGACCTAAGAAACAAACCTAAATAAATCAGGTGTTTTCATGTGGGCCAATTAGTCATCGACGTCTACGTAAAAAAAAAAAAAAGTTCGCGTGTAATTATTTTGTTTGTTTGTTTGTTTGCGTTTGTTTCTTCTAAGAAAATATATATAAACATGTAACACGCCCAATAACTGTGCTTTTCCTTTTTTTTTTCTAATCGTAATTATTGTATATTATACGTTATTCAATCGGCCGAAAAAAAAAACGGTCACATTGTATAGAAATGAAAAATTATTATTATGATTATGATTATTATTATTATTATTATTCATTCGTTTTGATAAAACAATGGAGAAGTTATAAATGATACGTATGGCAAATCGATAATTTTCATTATTATTATTATTATTTGTTGTTTAGGTTCAGGTTTGAAAAAAAAAATATTTGAAATATTTTTTTTTGTATAAAAGGAAAGGTTGTTTGTTTGTTTGTGTTTGTTTGTTTGAATTTGTTTTTGTTATAAATAAAAAATAAATAAATAAATAATTAATTAATCAATCAATCAATCAATCAATCATCTTCGTCATCGCTATCGGTGTCGATTTTTGTCCTTTTTGATGTTTTCTTTTTGCCACCAATGAATATCGGTACGACTCCTTTATTCGTCGATCCTAAATAATTAATTATTATTATTATTATTATTATTATTAGGTTGTAGCATGAGTGGGTGATTGTTTTTAAAGGGGGGGGGGAAAAGGTAAACATACCGGCTATGGCGGTACCGCTGGGTGCTGATACTGCTAAACCACCTTGACCGACGACGGCGGTTCCCATTGGAGATGCTTGTGCTATTCCTCCAAGTCCAGCCAAAGCGATTGCTGAGGGTTTACTCTGAAAGAGGAAACGTTTTTAGAGTTTAAATGGTGATGGTGATGGTGGTGACGATGGCGAAGGTGATGGTGACGGTGATGATGATGACGAAGTACGAAAATATGGTACCTGTGCTATACTCGGTTGAAGTTCTTGTTTTTCATCCCCTTCTTCCCTTTCGTCATTTTTCGTCATTTCTTCTCCTTCTCCTTCTTCTCCTTCTTCTTCTCCTTCTTTTCGTTTGATTTGTTTTTCGTTATTTTTACTACTTTTCAAAGGTTCGGCGACCACAACAACGGAATCATCATCTTCATCAAACGTTTCTCTTTTCGTTTGATAAGCATCATTTTTTTTCATCGACGATAACGGAAGTCTTAAAAGATTTTGATAATTCGGTTGATTTCTCAAAAGAACATAATTTGACACGACGCCACCGATGGGTGGCAAACTCGTCACCATCTTTGAACTATCCTTAATCTTTTTCATTTTAATCGAATTTACATTTCCTCTTATTTGACTTTTCGGAAGTGCTGATATATCCGACGGAAGTACGTATTCTGTCGAATGTTTAACAAATTTATCCAAAAGAATCATTTCCCGAAATGTTTATGTGGGGGGTAGGTACTTACTGTTTACTTGGGGTTTCGTCATGACAGTACCGACTGTCGGATCAACGGGTACTCCAGCTCTATCGACGACGGTTTGTACTATGTTGCTGTTTTGAACTGTTTCGTCACCTTGTAAAATAATCTTATTCGGTACGTAATAATTACTAGGTTGTACCTGTCAAGACAAAAACAAAACGTCACATATGCCCTTTTTCTTCTTCTAATGTCCATAAATGACGTCATCAATGGGTTTTTATTTAAATTTATTTAAATTACCAACCGTTTTATTTCGTGTATCTTTTCTAAACGTCACGTCACGTTTACAAAAAATTCTTGTAGATATTCCCCCTCCCCGTTATAAAAAAAAAAATCAATGATAATAATAATAATAATACTTACGGCATTAACAAACGTGGGTGGTTCAGTGCCACCGAAGGATTTTACGTAGTCGAATACCAAATTGTGATACTGAGGCTTCATACCCAATCCTGGGACGTACATGGGTTTGTTTATGTCGCTTCTCAATTGTCGATAATACGATGACGGTTCAGGTTGATACCTGTACACGTAAGATTGACCCGTGGGTGACCTTTCGTAATTAACGTAATATTCATCGAGCGGAAAACTTCGCACCAATTGAAATCCGAGCAAAACAACTATGAAACCCTGAAAATATAATTTAATTAAATTAAAAAAAAAAAAAAAAGAAATTATTTTTTCAAAATGTCGGGGCACTAGACAACACTTTAAAAAATGAAATTCTAACATTTGACCTTGAATAATTTACTATTTGTTATGGGCGAATGAACTTTACGAAAAAAAAAATTATGGAATGTTTTGTTGTTTGCACGAATTCATCGGTATAAATTCCAAAATCGTTTTTCTATTTTATTATTATCATTATTATTATTATTAGTCATTCTGGAGAATTAATATCGTGGAATAAAATAAATTTCCAATTTTTTTTCTCCAGGAAAAAAAAAAGACGACTTACCCACATTTTTTCGTAAAAAAATTTAATTTTTTTTAAAAAAACGTTTAGTATCTACTGCCACTACTACTACTACTACTACTACCACTACTACTACTGGACAACTACTATCACTACTATTAACTGGACAAAAAAATTTTTTAAATAAAATTTTAACGACCGTTTTAATTAATACGAATTCACGTTCTGACTTTTAAATCGTTTCTTATTCATAACTCAAAAAAATTTTTCGTACCTTCTACTACGTCATCATTACAAACAATTTTTATTATTATTATTATTATTATTATTATTATTAATATCGATTTAAGAGGTAGTACTCGAAGTTAAAAAAAAAAAAAACGTAAAAGAAAATCCGGTTGTATTTAATTTAAAAAAAAAAATAATTCCATAATGTTTTAAGTGATAACGAACGTCATCCTCGTCGTCGTCGTTTGTCGTTTGTCGTTTGTTGTTGTTCGTATTCAGGTACGCGAGTTTATGTTAAACGACAACATATTTTACATTCGTACAAGAAAAAAAAATTTAAAAATAATAATATGACACTTACCTGGAAAATCATTTTTTTCTTTTCCCGAAAAAAAAAAAAAAATTAACAAATAAATTATTATAATAAATCGCGTGAAATAAAACAATCGGCGAATCGTTTGTTTGTTTGTTTGTTATTTAAAAAATGGGCGCTAAAAATAAAATAAAATATTAACACGATATATAACGTTGTCGTTGTCGTTGTTGTTGTTGTTGTTGTTGCGGTTGTCGTGGTCGTTTCCGTACGTAACTTTTTTATATTATTATTTAAACTGGATTCGTAAATTTTCTTTCTCTCTCTCTCTCTCTTTCTCTCTCTCTCTCTCTTTCTCTCTCTCACTCTTCCTCTTCCTCTTCCTCTCACTCACACTCTCTCTCTCTCTCTCTCTCATTTAATATAAGATTAACAAAAAAAAAAAAAATTCTTCGATTCTACAATTATCTCGTTGAGCATTTGGTTTTTTTTTGTTCAGAGTTTAACGACTGTGATTTTTTTTTTCTTATTCCACGTTTCAAACTATCATTATTATTATTATCATCATCATCATTATTATTATTATCTTTAATTCATAGGTTGTAAATTACAATCGATTATTTTCGTGTTTGCAATTTTTTTTTAAAAACATATAATTGCCGTAAAAAAAATGTTTTTCTTTTTTTTTCACCTCCTGGAGAAAATTTTTTTATGGTTTATTAATTATTATTATTATTATTATTATTATTATTATTATTATTATTATTATCATCATCGTGGAAATTTTTTTCTCCGGGAGTTTTTATTTTATTATTGAATCGATAACGATTTTTTTTTTTTTAAATTTGAAAATTCTTTTTTAAAAAAAAAAAAAAAACTAAAAATATCTGAAAGGAAACTTTTTCCTTGCGTTTGTTTGTCTGTTTGTTTGTTTGTTTGATTTTGTAATTATTTAAACGGTTAATTAGAAACAAAAAAAAAAAAAAAATTAAACGATTCTAATAAAATTTATCGATATTTTAAAGTTTTTTTTTGGGAAATGAATTCCGGTTGGAAAGGATTTACTTCCGGTTCGTTAATACGCCGATTTCCGGTTTTGGAAAATTAATAAATATTTAAAATATTTCCTTTTCCCCCCCCTCGAAGTTAAAAATTACCTACGTAAAAAAAAACGAAAAAGAAAATTTTAATATTTTTTAATCGTCCGTTGCAATTTTTTTTTTTTCATCAAAAGAATTTTTTCTCCAGTCTTCGCCTGGAAGGGAAATTAAATAAACAATATAATTATTAATAAAAGAAGAGAGAGAGAGAGGAAAAAAAATTCTTAATGTTCAAGTTCAAGGTTATAAAAAAAATTAAATGACCGTAGGCGTATAATAATAATTTTCGTTAAAAATTTTTTTTTTTTCTCCAAAAAAACATGGCGGCCGCGTGGAATTTCCAAGCGAAAATAATTTTAAAAAATTTTCTTTTTTTTCTTGTTTGTTGTTCCCTGTCTTTAAAATTTATTAACGATTTTTTTTTTACTTATTGTTCGAGCCTGGAATTTGATAAATTTTTTTTTTTTGTAATTTCCGATTCCGTTAATAATAATAATAATAAGAACTTATTAAAGAATTGGACCCTGGATCAACATACAAATATCTGGGGTAAATATTATGGTCACTCTTAAACACGACAAGGCTCCTATTTGTCGGGATTTTTATCCCAGGTTTCTACCCGATTCCTTAGGGACAAATACTCGAATATCGGTGGTGCTATTTATAATATTTTCCGAAGAATGTGGGCCGTCCCACATAGTGCGATTTCCTGGATGGTTTCTTCTTTTAGGTTCTTCATAATCTTCTTTAAATTTCCTTTTATTGAATGTGGCATGGCTCCCAATGCTCCCACGATGACCGGAATCCTTTCTGTTTTTGTTCCCCACATCCTGGCTATTTCAATTTCCAAATTTCTATATTTCAGCCTTTTGTCTGCTTCTTTGGCTGTCTGGTGTTTTTTTCTGCCGGCACGGATACCTCAATTAACTTACACCATTTTTCCGCATTATGCCTGAGTATGATATCCGGTTTGTTAGCTGGCACAGTTCTGTCAGTGTGGATTTGTTGATCATACAGAACCGTGCATAAACCTGCTGTCGTAATCGGGCTTGGAACAATTGAAAACAATCGAGGTTTAATTTCCTTGTTGGCTATTATTATTATTATTATTAGTATCGAACGTTGGCGTTTGAATTTGATGAGATAAATTTTTTTTTTCCCTCTCTCTCTCTCTAATTGATTTCTGGACGTGGTTTTCGATATTAAATGGAAAAATTATTATTATTATTATTATCGAGTTCAGTAAACTTTAAATCATTTAAATAATTAAACGTGTTTGTTGTTGTTGTTGTAGACGTAATTGATATTAGGGGCTGTTCGTTTTTAAGTTAAAATTAAAAAAAAAAAAACCGGAAAATTCATTATTATTATTATTATTATTATTATTATTACTTTTAGAGTGAGATAGAGTGGAAGAAGAAAAAGATGAAAAATTAATAAACAAACAAACAAGACAAACAACTCGCGTGTCAAATTTTATTATATTTTAATTTAAAAAAAAGAAAAATTTTTTTTTTATGGCAAGGAATCGGCATTTAAAATTTATTATTATTATTATTATTATTATTATGGGATTATTTACTGGTACTTCAAGTACTGAACGTTATCCTGATAAGGATAATAAACTCGAGTACCATGGCGATAATAATTTGGAAAATCGGAATTTCTTTTTTGTAATCTTTCTTGTCTCGACGAAGGATAATCGGAAGAGGGTAAGAAACCATATTTGTCGCCATATTGACCCAAAGTCAATTGAAAACCTTGAACGTTTCCGCTTTTACGAAAATATAAATTTTCCAATTTTTCATTATCGTTTTCCTGACGAACGGATCTCGATGTCGTGTCAGCAAATTTATTCGGTTGCGGGTTTCCTATTGGTCCGGTTAAACCACCGACGTAATGAAGTTCGCCATCCGGTTGGTCGGGTTCTAAATAAAATTATAAATTGATATTTCAATTCGTATGTTAAATATGGTAAGAATAATTCAATTTATAATAATATCGACCTTGTTTTGGTTTTTTATTATTTTTACTAGGTGGAGCTCCGATCGGTAGAGAACCTTCGACTTGAACGCCAGCAATTGCTGTTCCGACGGGTCTTGCTATGGCTAATCCTCCGGGACCTACGACAGCAGTTCCCTGTGGTTTTGATGCAGCGATTCCTCCCGGTCCTGCGGGGGAAAACATTCGTGAGAATATCGATTTTCCAAAGTTAAAAAAAAAAATGTTGACGTTACCTGCAATGGCCAAACCGAATGGTTTTGCTTCTGCTACGCTTGAACCATCTGGTGGTGGAGAAATGGCGACACTTTCATTTTCGTTATCTTGTGGCTAAAATAAAAAAAAATTTTTTGTTATTTTTCAGGTACGATACGTGCAAAATCATCATCATCGCGATCATAATTACCTCATACTCTCCTTTTCCGCCTTCTTCACCTCCTTCTTCTTCTTTATTCTCTTTAAACGGTTTTGATTTTTTTTTCTTATCAGTATGATTTTGATAAGAACCTCTTATAACGGTACCTAATGAATGTGCACTCAATACAACAGGATTAAAAGGTTGTTTCGATCTATCGTAATTTAAATACGAAAGGCCACCGCTGAAAAAAAAAACAAAAAAAAATTCAATTAATAACAAAATGGCGGTTTTTTAATAAAAAAATTTAAAGTACTTCTTACCTGATAATTATTTAATGTACCTGAATTCCCTTCCCTTAAAAGCTATTTACAATTGATGATGATGATGATAATAATAACCATTCCCAGTTATTTGCCAAAATCGTCACTGCGTGACGACGTTTTAATTTTTTTTTGGGTTTTTTTTTTTTAAAAATGAATTTATTATGTATTTGTTTATAAATATATATTATTATAATTACAAAATGAATTAATTGTTAACAATTAATTAATAAAATGGCGGCGAAATTCGATTAATGTTGATGATGGTAAATGAAAATGATTCGTTTATTTAATATTTTCCCCTTTACCGTTTTTTACCCGTGTGACGTCATAGCCTACGTCACCAGGGAGGATATCGTCGTCGTGTCGTTAGACAAATAACTGACGTGTAAATCGCTGAGAGCGTGTGCGAAACCGTTAGGACCAGCGCTCGCAACGGATTCCGGTTGGAAAAAAATATTTGTTTTTTGTCCGGGAAATACGTATGCGTGAGAAGATGGTACGCTTATAGCGACGCCATTTTTACCAGCTTCCGCTTTAGATTTCGGACGGAAAATCAAAGAAGTTTCGTTTTTTTTTCTAAGTGAAAAATCCTCGTCGTCGACATTTGTTAAATTACGTTGTTCGATTCTCATGACATTTTCTATCGTTTTTCTTATCGCGTTTTCCTTTTGAAAAATAACGGTCGAACGATTTTTAACGGTCGTCGAACGATAATTTTTCCGATTCGATTTAAATTCTGCGATTTTGATTGGTTGATTCGACGAATACGAAAAAAAATTTTTATAATTTTTATAATTATTTTCTTCCGGTTTTTCCGTTTGTAGTTTTGACGATGATGATTTAAAATTGGAATTTTGTTTTTCGTTGTGCATTTTTATTATGTCTTCTAATCGTACGTCGTCTGTTATGTTAATTACTTTTGAATGTGGACCCAATATGGCCGTCGCTTGTGGCGTTTTGTAAACTGTACCGTATGGACCGACAATGGCGGTACCTCCAGTATATGCTGTTGCCACACCACCTGGTCCAGCTATCGCAATACCTCCTTTTCTAACGACGAAATCTGTTGTTTTTCTACTTTTAAAACTGCCAAAAAAAAAAAAATTTTTTAAAACGGATATTCCAACGTGACAAAACAAAATGGCGTCGGCGGTGATGATTAATACTCACTTTGTCGATTTCGGATTTTGTAAACTTATATTTATTTTATCTCCTTGTCTAGTTGTTAAAAAAATGGTCGTTTCATCTCTTCTTCTTCGTCTTCTTTTTCCAGAATATTCCATATTAGATATTTTTCCACCGTATCCGTCGTCCATTTTTCCATGATGACGTAAACGTTCTCCATAATTTTTTTTCTTTATCGTATCGCTTTCTAACGTTATTTCATCGAAAAAATTATTTTCATTTTTTTTTTCCCCATACGTTATTAATTTTACATCATTTCGAATATTATTATCTTCGTTATTTCCGTTTCCGGTACCACCTAAATTTTTAAATTCGTTATTTGATGAATTATTTACGGACTTGCATGGAGTCCGTTGATAAAAAATAATAAAACTATTTCAAAAAAAAAAAAATTAATAAATTTAATTAAATGTGATTCCCTTCTCCCCACATCCCTTCTCCCGAAATATCCAAACGTTTCCGGTTTTTAACGTCAAATCCCAGGGAAAAATTGGGGGATGTAGGGAGGCGGGATTTCATAACGTTTTTCTATCAATTTATTTATTTTTTTTTGTTTGTGATTTTTCTATCCCCCACTCCCTCTCTCCTCCTTCTCCCTCCCCCCACAAAACTATAAATCAAAACTTCGGGTTTTTCTTAACCTTATCGCCCTCCCCTCCCCCTCCTCGTGGTCACCCCGATAATTTTTAAATATCAAAACGTTTTTCCTTTTGTTTTTGTAAAAAAAAAAAAAAATTTCACGCCCAAAACATTTTTTTTTTTTTAATTAGGCTTATACAATTTTTTATTCGACTCCTCCTTCCCCCCTCCTCCTTTGACCTTCGTGATTGACCCTTGACCCTAACATAATCAATTTTACGATTCTTTTATAGTTTTTATAAAAAAAAATCGCTTCGAGCTTGATGGTCAAATTTTCGAATTAAAAACGATTCGGAAAACAAAATGGGGACGGTGGCGTCGTTCGTACCTTTTTCGATAAAAAATTTTCCAAAATTATTATCATTATTCCAGGTAGTTTTTATTTTTTTTTCTCCAGAATTTTTTCCAGGATTTTTTATTTTTTGTAATTTTTCTTTTATTTTGAGAGGTCGCGACGACGTTATCAACACGACGAAATTTTCGTTTTTTTCTCCATTTGTAGTCTTATCGATTCTTCTTATCATCGTCTTATCATTTTCTCCAGTTTTTCCAGTGTAATTTTCCTTCGATTCCTTCTCATTGGAAATTTTATAATATTAAAAATCACATCGACGAACGATTTAGAAAAAAAAAAATAAAAATAATAATAATAATTTTTAACCGAAATCCTCGCAAATTTTCTCACATTCTGAAACTTTTATTAAAATCTCGTTTTTATGTTTTTCTTTTTTTTAAAAAAAAAAATTCGAGTCGTCGTTTGTCAGGTTTGTTGGTTGTCGTAGTTGTTGTTGTAGTAGTTGTCAGGAGGTGGTGGGAGGAGGTCATAACAACAACAAACAAAACATTCGTTATACATGCAGATTAATTCAGTTCATTGACATTGACGTTGACGTTCATTTTTTTTTTTTTTTAAATTAATAATAATAATAATAATAAATTTAAAACCACGATGACGATGACGATGATAATAATAATAATTGTTTTTTTATTTATTTATTTATGGAAACTCGTGGAAAAAAAAAAAAAAAATTTAAAATGTCGAATTACCAAAAAAAAAAAAAAAATGCGAATAAATTAAAATTAAAAATTTGTTTTTTTTTTTTTTTTTTTTTTTTTATGGTTGTTGTGTTTGTTTAAAAAAAGTTGTTTGTCGTTTAATAATATTCAGTACCTCAACCTTACGCAAATTATCATTATTATTATTATTATTAATAAATTTTTCATTCATAAAAAAAAATAAAATTAAATTGATGGAATAATTTTTTTTTTCTTCTTCCACATTAAATAAAATTAAAAGTATTATTATTATTATCATTATTATTATTATTGTTGTTGTTGTGTGTGCTGGAGGAGGAAGGTAGGAAGGGGGGAAGGATATTTTTTTAACGATTATTATTATTCTGGAGAAAAAATTTAACGAAGGTTAAGTGGGGGCAATAACATCATGACACTCGTTCTTCATCTTTTGATTGACGGTAACGGGATAAAAATGAGAAAATTTTTTTTTTTTTATTATTTTTTTTTCTCCGTAAAAGTTGAAAAACGAGATAATCGATTTTAAATCGAGATATTTTATCGAATTAATTTTTTATCGAAACGACGATAAAAAAAAAAAAAAAAAAAAAACAAAAAAAATTCGATTTTTTAAAACGCGTTAAAATTGATTTTTTTTTCTCGCACTCCGTCAAAATTAATAATAATTTTTTTTTATTATGCGTATTAATAAACGATTCGATATATTCGATATATCGAACGATTCGATTTTCAAAAAAAAATTCATTTTTTTAATTAATAAAAATTAATTTCCGGTGTCTTTGTGATGGTAAAATTTTACACTTTTTTTCCCCGATTTCGGTTAAATTTAAAAAAAAAATTATTATTATTATTATTATTATTAATTTTTTCCTATTCGCACAACAAACAGACAAACAAACAAACAAACTCACGTTATTTAAAGTCGTTATAAATAAATAATCACTGCCTCCTGAATAATAATCGAAATTATTTTCACGACGATCACGACGACGACGAATTTTCAATATTTTATCAAAAAAAATTTTCTTATCCTTTTCAATGATTGATCGATTATTATTATTATGATTACTATTATTATTATTATTATCGATTGTTAAATTATTATTATTATTATTATTATTGATAATTATTCCGTTTGCACCGACGTTTGTATTCTTATTGATTCTGAAACAAATCAAAAAGAAAAACAGAAAAAAAAAAAAAAAAACATTTTCAGTGCAAACGAAATTTTTTTTTTTTTTTTTAAAATAATTTTTTATCATTATTATTATTATTATTATTATTATTATTATTATTACCCTTTACCACCCCCTATCACCCCTCCACCCTATTAATAATTTTTATTAATCATAATGATAATAATAATAATAATAATGAAATGAAAAGAAAAAATCACTCACCTGTATTTAACATCGTCCAATGATTTTCTTCCATATTCGCGATTGTTGCTTCTGCTGCTGGCGATGCTGCTTCCACTGTTTCCGCTTCCACTTCCGCTGCTGCCACGATTACAATTTCCGTAATGGACGACGACGAAGAGGAAAATCTTTTTTTTTATTCGCATCAAACAAACAAACAAAAAAATAAATAAATAAATAAATCGCGAGAGTTAAAAAAAAAAAAAAAAATTTTTTACTGCTAAACACAAACCACGTTAAAAAAACTTAATAAAATAATAATAATAATAATAGTAATAATAATAATAATTAAATACTTACCGATATAATTACATACTTCAACATTTTATTTATTTATTTATTTTATTAAAAAAAAGGAAAAGAAAGGAAAAAAAAAGGTAAATTTTTGTATCAGGTGTTTGTCACATATATATATATCAGTAAAAACGATCGTGTGTTTGTTTGTTTGTTGTTTGTTTGTGTTTGTTACTGTGTGTTTGTTGGTGTAGATTTAAAAAATATTAAATAAAATAATAACGAATCGCGTTAAAATGTGAACGAACTTCATTGATTGACCTCAGAATTTTTGCAAAAAAAAAAAAAAAAAAAAACTTTTTTTCACACTCGATATTGTTTGGAATATTAACTGGAAAACTGGAATCCGATCACCTGTGTGTGTGTGTGTGTGTGTGATACCTACACCTGGAAATACAAATACCGGTATTTATCCAAACGTTTTTTTTTTTTTGTTAAACATAATGCCCAATAATTTTTTTTTTTTTTTAGTTCCTGTTGTTGCCGTTTAATTTTATGGGAGCGTTTTAATATGCCTTAAGTTATCCATGATTAGCATTTATAAATGGACATAAAGAAAATTTCCAGGTCGATACGCAGGTATATTTTTAATTACGTGAAGAAAAAAAAAATCGTATTCTTCTCTTTCCTCTTTACATCATTTTTTTAAATAATAATAATAATTTTATAAATGATATCTGTTTGCGTTTTGGATATGTAAAATAATATTTCATTAATATGTTGATCTTTATCCAACCGACTGGAATCTCCTGGAATTATACAAATTATTAATTATTTTTTAAAACCGTTTGTTTGTTTATTATTTTTACGAATTTGTCATTATTATTATCACAGGGTTTTGGAGTAATATGAAAAAAAAATTAATTAAGTTATAAATAAGAAAACTTTTGGAGAATTTTTTTTTTTTTTTTTTTGGCTTCTCATTCGCACGATTTATGATTATTATTATTATTTTTTTTTTTTTTTGGGGGGGAGAAGATTTATTTTGTGGGTAGGTGCCGCCATATTTGTTGAGATTTTTTTTTTACATAGAAATGAAGGATTTGTTTCGACTTCGTTAAATTTAACACGTTTTAAAAAAAATATTTTTTTCCGATGCGTTCACGCCCACCCAATTCACGTCGTTTTTAATTAATAAAATTATTTATCCGTATCTTATATAATTATAATCGACACGCGCACTCACACACGCAACCGAAGATTAATTATTATTATTATTATTATTATTATTTTTTTTTTTTTATTTACCTCCCGATGGAAATGAAATTGAGTACGTTTCCAACGAATTTGTCTTCGTTAAAAAAACCTTTTCTTCCCATAATTAAACCCGGATTTTAAATTAAAAATTTTTTTTTAAAAATAATTATTAGCCTTCGGGTTATTGAAAATAATGATGATAATAATAATAATAATAATAAATAAACGTAAATTAAATTTTTTTTCCTGTTTTCTAAAACAAAAAATTTCGAACATCGATAATTAAAAATTATACTTTTTTCAATACATAATCGGACGTTAAAAAGTATAACTAAAAAAATTTAAGGCGTTCCTCGTAAACTTTTCTATTTTTATTATAATTTTTAGTACGATCAACGATCGAGAGATGGTGTTCGAAACGCTTTTTTTTTCCCGCGTCTGGTGTTTCGAAACTTTGTAAATTTTGCAATGCGAAGTTAGAAAAAAAAAAACACGTTTTCTTTTTTTTTAAGTTAATGTTAAAGTTTAAATTTTAATTTTTTGATAAATTTCAAATTAATAATAATAATAATAATAATGATAATGATATTAATATCACGTAAACGTAATGCGATGACGAATAATTAAAACATGGAAATATTTTGACGACGACGAATGCTGTTACGTCGACATTTTTTTTTTTTTTTTTTGGACAAAATCATGGAGAAATAATAATGATAACGGAGGGGAAAAAACGTAATAATTGTTAAATGAAAATTCCAGAAAAAAAGGAAGAAATTGGATGAAAGATTCAAACAAGGGAAAAATTTAAAAATCATCATCATCATCATTTCAAAAAGAAAATTTGATTTAATGGCGAAAAAAGTTTTCAATCAAAGAAGAAGAAAAAGAAGAAGAAGATTTAAAATTTTTTTTATTTTTTTTTTTTAATGTCAACGAAACGGAAACGTTTTTTTTTTTTTTTTTATGCCACGTAAATAAAAAAATAAATAAATAAATAATTTATTTTTATTTTCGTCCTTGCTTAAACGAAGGGGGAAAACATCCTAAAACTCAACTCGGATGACTATTAATGACACTTAATTATTATTATTATTACTAATATTATTAAATTAATAATAAAAATTTAATTAATTTGTTTCTATTTCATTTGTTCAATTCCGTGAATTTTTTTTTGTTTATCCTTTAATAATAATAATAATAATAATAATATAAATATAGGTCACGCGGTTAAACGGTTTTTTTTTTCTTTTTATTAATAAGTTAACAAAACTCTAAAAAGAGGGAAACATTTTAATTCTTAATTATTTTATATACAACAAAAAATGACGTGTCATTAGAAAAAAAAATTATTAAATATATATATCTTTTCGTTTCGCTTTTTTAATTTTTTTTAATTTTTTCGAATAAAAAAATAAAAATATCGAAGAAGATGAAGAAGAAGCAAAGAATGTAAAAACTAAAATGAAAGAAAGATGATAGAGGTGGAAGATACTCTGTCAAAAAAATTGAGTGGGAGAAAAAAAAAAGAAAGGGCAGGCATGAAAGTGAGGGAAAGTAAGGTTGAAAGAGAGAGAGAGAGAGAGAGAAAGATCGAAATACAAGGGGGGAAAAAGAGAGAGAGAGAAAGATCGAAATACAAGGGAGGAAAAAGAGAGAGAGAGAAAGATCGAAATACAAGGGAGGAAAAAGAGAGAGAAAAATATGAGGTAAAGGGAGTGAGGGAAAGAAAAAAAAAAGTAAAAAGGACAGAGAGAGAGAAAGAGAAAAAAAGAAAGAGTTAAAGAGAACAAAAAGAGAGAGAGAGTGAAAGATCAAAATACAAGAAGGCAGAAAGAGAGAGAAAAAGTGAAATAAAGGGAGAGAGAAAGAAAAGAGGTAAAGAGACAAAGAGAGAGTAAAAAAAACGTAAAGGAACAGAGAGAGAGAGAGAGAGAGAGAGAAAAGAAGTAAAGGGAGAGAAAAGTGGTAAAGGGAGTTAAAGTGAGGGAAAATTTGAAAGTATTAGAATAAAAAATGAAGAAAAAAAGATGAAAAAAGAGATGAATAGAGAAAAAGAGAGAGAGAGAGAGAGAAAGAGGGAGAGGTTACAATTACGACAGAACAAACAAACAACAAACAATGTTCACAAACCTTAAATGTTATCAAAAACGAGAAAATGACGAAATATTATTATAATAAAAAAAAAAAAAAAAATTTTTTCAGCAAAAATAAAAAAGAGGGAGAAAGACATTTTTTATTAATAATAATAATAATAATAATAATAATGATGATGATGATAATAAAATTCCGGTCAATGAATAAGAAGTACATAAATTAAAATATTGTTACGATCGTTTGTGACGTAATTAAAAATCAAGTCCACACAATAATCGATCTTGTAAAATAAAAAAATTTTTATTAAAAAAGCGTCAAAAAAACCCCAAATGATAATAATAATAATAATAATAATGATGATGATGATGATAAAAAAAAAAATTTTCCAACCTGGAGAAACACTCCCCGATTTAAATAAGAATTTTCCAGGTTTAGAAAACGAAATCTCTTAAGTTATGTGGAAAATGAGTATGATAATGAATAAGGTTCGAATTAAAGATGGCCGATGATGAGAGAAAAATGGTCGGTGATGAAAATTAGGTTAACCTAATAAGAAATGATCATCATTAACATAATTTTTTTTTTTTCCAATTGATTGCATAACGACTGGAAAAATTTTTCCTTGGATAAAATTTCATATTGAAAAGTTTAAGAGGGTATGTGAATGTTGTTTCCGGTTGTTGTTGTTGTTGTTTGTTTTTTTCATAAGTAAAATATATCATATTTGTCAATTTTAGGTAAAAGTCCTTGGATATATGCGAATACTATCCAAAGGATATGTCGGTCATAATGATAATAAAATATATTTAATTTTGCTTGTTATATACGTTTTTGGGTGATAATAAACAGATATTGATGAGAGATGAAGACCTCGAAAATTTTTTTAAGAAGAAAAGAAAAAAAAGTAGGCGACAAATTATAAAAGATGAAACCATGATTATGATTATCTAATTATAAAAATTGACTTAATCGGTTTTGATATTAAGATGACCGATCGTTATTACGTAGATGGACCATTTTTTTAACCAAAGACTTAAAGTATATAAGCCGAGTTCAAATGTCATTCGTCACTCTTCTCTTTTGTGAAAGAACCATTCTACTACCAGCAGAATGAAAACGGTAAGTTTTCTTTTACTTTTACCAATTTTTTTTTTTTTTTTTTGATTTTTGTTGGTTTTTTTGGATTTTTCCAAAACGGTTTTAACGATTTTGGGGGGTAGGCCAAAGTAAGAGCGAAAGTTTTGAGGAGAAAATTATTGCTCCTCCGGATAGTATAGGATCCGCCATTTTATAAATGATATTTATATATACGATGGGTTAGTCAGATAATAAAAATAAAATTTTTTACCATACAGGTCGCTTTAATTCTTTTGGTAGCCGCTTGCGCCTACGCCAAACCCGAAGCTGTTGAATCTAGCACTGCTGCTAGCGTAGACAGCGTTAAAGCTGGTACTGACCTCTCAGTCTCCAGCACTGTTGCTCCACTCGTTAGTGGCGGTCTCGCTACTGGAGTCGAAGGTGGTCTCTTGTCCGCTGTAAGTATAAATAATGAAGTGTGATATGACGAAAGAGAAAGATGAGGGTATGGGTTGTGATTTGATTATTTGTATCGATAGGGTTTGGCTGGTGGACTCGTCGGTGATGCTGTTTCTGCTGCTGGCCTCGGACTCGGATCCGGAGTCGTCAGCGGTGGAGTCGTCGGCGGTGATGTTGTCTCTGGCGGAGTTGTAGGAGACGCTGCCCTCGGTGGTGGTCTCGTCAGCGGTGGACTCGTCAGCGGAGGACTCGTCGGTGCCGGTCTCGGTGATGGACTCGTTGGAGGTGGACTCGTCGGAGGTGGTCTCGTCAGCGGTGGAGTCGTCGGAGGTGGACTCGGTGGTGGACTCGTCGGTGGTGACCTCGGAGTTGTAGGAGGCGGTTTGGTTGGAGACTTGGGATCCACCGTTGCCTACGACAGCGCTGCTGGACTTACCGGACTCGCTGGTGGACTCTCTGGTGGACTCTCTGGAGTTAGCGGTGTTTCTTACGGATCTGGATTCGGATACGGAGTCGGAGTTGGAAGCGGAGTCGGTGTCGGAGTTTCTGCCCTCTCTGGACCAATCCCAGTCAGCACTCAAGCCCTCGGAGCCGCCGGACCAGCTGTCCCAGTCCAACAATACGAACTCGGTCACGCCAGACAAGTACAAACCGTTCAACACTTTGACGTCAACAACGTTGTCCCAGTCTCTGGATACGCTGTCAAGAGAGAAAGAGTTAACGTCCCAGTCCGCAAATACGTCAGAACCGAAAAAGTTGTTCCATTGAAATTCGAATCCGTTCACCCAGTCCAAACCTACGAAAACTACGCCGTCCGTACCGCTGTCCCAGTCCAAAAATACTCTGTCCAACGCCAAGAAGTCAACGTTCCAGTCCAAAAATTGGTTAAATCCCAAAGCGTTCAACAATTCAGAGTTGACACCGTCACCCCAGTCAGAGAAGTACAAAGATTCCAAGTCCAAAAAGTCGTCCCAGTCGTCACCCAACAAGTCAAAACCGAACAAGTCGAAGTCCCAGTACAAAAATTCGTCAAGAACAGCCACGTCGTCCCAGTCACCGTCGAACGTGTCACCCCAGTCCAACACGTCCAAAGAGTCAGCGTACAACGTGTCGTCCCACACCAACACTACGAATACAAAACGCACAACGTTAGATTGCCAGTCCAAAAATTGGTCAAATCCCAAAAAGTCGCTCAAGTCAGAGTATCTGCCGTCACCCCAGTCCCAGGAGTTGAATCCCACGAAGTCAAACGTGTCGTCCCAGTCCAATCTTACCAAGTTACCAGAAACCGTGTTGCTTTGCCAGTCAACACCTTCGATGTTCAAGGATCACTCCCAGTCAACACCGTCAACCTTAACGGTGGAGTCGGACTCGACGCTGGAGTCGGAGCTGGATTTGGATACGGAGTCGGAGTTGGAGCCGGAGTCGGTCTCGGTGCCGGAGTCGGTGTTTCTGGATTCGAATACTCTAGTGTAACTGCTGCCCCAGCTGTTTCTGGTGGATTCGTTTCCACCACATCTGCCCCACTCTTGTCCGGTGGAGTCTCTGAATACTCTTCTGGAGTCGTCGGAAGCGGTCTCGTCGGAGGTGGCGTTCTCGGAGGCGGTCTCGTCGGAGGTGGCGTTCTCGGAGGTGGTCTCGTCAGCGGTGGAGTCGTCGGAGGTGCTTTGTCTAGCGGAGTCGTCGACGGAGGAGTCGTAGGAACTCTCCCAGTTTCCGGAGTCGTTGGTGCCGGACCAGAAGTTACCGTTGGAGGTGGTGTTCTCGGAGGTGGAGTCGTCGGAACCGGAGTTTCCGGTGGATTCGGTGACTTTTCCTCTACCACCGTTGCCCCACTCGCCGGAGGTTTCTCCACCACCGTCGCCCCATTCACCACCACCTCTTCCTCTTTCGGAAGCTCCTTCTCTTCCGGATTCGGAAACTTGTACAAGAAAAAATAAGTTTCTCATCCCTTTACACACATACCCCCCTCCCCTTTTCTCCATCTAAAGAGTTATATATTATATAGTAGATAGTTTATTCTAATATGATGACAAAAGCAAAACGAATTGGATAATACGTGAAAAGAATAAATAATGTGAGAGTCGATCCGAAACGAAAAATTTCTCATGACTCTCATCACCCAAAAATAAAAAAATAAAAAAAAATTCTATTTGTTAACCAGAATGTAGTAGTTCAATAAATAAATAAATAAAAAATTATTTAAAATAATAATAATAATTATGTATATTTTTATTTAAACAAAAACCTTTTCCAACGATAGAGACCTATAATATAATAGTGTCAGCAGATAATCTATACAACAAAAAAAAAACAATATATCCGTTTGATAAAAAAAAAAAAGAAAAACTTATTAAACAAGTTAATAAATCAATAAATTTATTTATTTATTTAATAATATTTAAATCCGACGTTAACATTAATAAAAAAAAAATTACTTAACTTATTATGTTAATAAAATAAAAAAAAAAGTTAAGAAATTCATTTATCTATATGGCTAAAGATTGCAAAATTTTATTCATTTTATTTTTTTTTTACAAAATGGCGACAAGTCGTGGTATGTGCCACGTTTAAAAAAAAAAAACGACCGTTAAAAAAATTTAAATTTTCTCGATTTGGGGAGGGGAGGGGAAAAAAAAACAATTTTCCTTCATTAGCTCTCAAACTTTTCTTAATATTTCCAGGAAAATTTATTATTATTATTACTATCGTGATTGAAATTTATATTTTTGTTTATTTACTCTATGAAAAAATTTTATTTTTACGTAATTTTTTTTTTCTTTCTCTCTGGAATTATTTATTTTTTGGACATTTGTTTTATAAAAGTCAAAAAAACATCTTGACATTTTTCTTTTTCCATAGCGGACTGACTAATCATGACCTTGACCAGTTTTTCCGAAAAAAAATATTCATCGCATAAATTATCGTCGTGGCAATAATAATTAATTTAAAAAAAAAAAAAAACGGATTTGACTCGTTCGAATGTGTGGATGGATGGAAGGGGAGGGGTGGTGGTGGTTACGTGTTAAAAGGAAAAATATTTTCTGTTGTTCCTGTTGGAAGATTTATAACGCAAAAGTTGTTGGTATTGAAAATGTCTTGTTTGACCTTTGACTTTTGACTCGACATTGTGGTTATGTATGATGACACGTTCGCATCGCGACGGTTTGTTTTCCAGACAGTAAAGGTCTTCCAGTCCGAGAAGTTTTCTAATTTTGTATAACTCGAATTCGAAATATTTTTCACTTTTTATCGGAGTTCCAGTTTTGTTTTTGTTAGTCCAGGAGAAAGGTGGCATTTCGCATTGACCTCCACCCACCCGGTAGCAGGGAGGGTGTGGTGAGCAAAGACGAAGAAGCCACTACCCAACTAGCTCCTTTATCCGGGGGAGGGGCGTTCGGGGGAGTACAACCTGCGTTTTAGCCTCAACCCCTTCCTGAGCCAGAATCATCACCTGAGGAAGATCCTGGTACTACCCTTTTTCACCCTTCAAAAGACAGTCCCAAGTTGTTACCATCGTTTCTGCCTCTTCCGCAGAGTCTGCGAGTTGAGATGTTTGGGGTCGCGAATCCCGTAGATCGTTCGTCTGTCTTCCTTTCACGTAGCAGCTCCGCATTTTCTCTATTGAATCTAGTACCCAATTTCACCCCCTCGTAAAAGGGTCAGCGCATCCCCAATGCCTCAAAAAGGTTTTACTAGGTCACTTATCCCCTTACGTAGGTACATGTCTGTTCTTGTTTGGACGTGGTGGAATAGAACTTTCAGGATTTTTCCCCTTTTTGGACTCGACCTAACTACCTCGGGCTTACCCCAAGCGAACGCTTAGTCAACGTGGAAAACTCAATCTCGAAACCCCCGACCCCTTAAAACATCCCCTCGCCATCGAGTAGTTGTATTACAAGGATACACCACCGCCACTCCCGGTTATTTACTTCCAGACGCTGGAGAAATTTAAGAGTTTTTATAATGCCACGTTTAAAAAGTAAAAATGGAATTTTTTTTTTTTTTATTTCGGTTTTACGGGACCGGAAGTAGAGTGCGATCGTATCATTCTTACCATTTCCGTTTCGTACTCACCGCGGATATTTCAGTTAACATTCGATCTTGAATCACCGGAAATTAAACGATCGATTGTTATTGATTGCGTCATATTGGCACATTCGATATTTGTCATTTTGTCGCTTCTTGTTTGACTCTGACCTACTCTGCGGTGTGTCCAGTCGTGTGTGTGTGTGCGTGTGCGTGTTGATCTTTTTGTCCCGTTAAAACTATTCAAACTGTTGACGTCATATTACGTAATATTGTCCAGAAAGTTCTTTTTATCGTTTTCTCCCCATAGACTTATTCGTTTGTTTCGCTTCCGTTACTTGCATCTTCTTCTTTCTTAAGAATGATTTCACTTACCCATTTCAACTGTGACGTCATTCTTCTTCGTGTTTGGAGTGACTCCCTTACTATATCTTTTCTATAATTCTCCACTCGATCAATTTTCTTAGAACAAAATAATCCTGGAACAAAAAAATTTTAGAATTTTATTAAAGATTGATTCAATGAATGAATGAATGAATGAATGAATGTTTTCTTATTTAACAGGTTAACAGGTTGCCTCTGATTAAAACGATTCAACCTTACTGCCTGTTCTCCTGTCTCTGTATAATTTATTAAATGAATGAATGAATGAATGAATGAATGAATGACAAAAAACATTACAATAAAAAATATTTAACGCCACGATTTATTTTATTTATTCTTTTTTTTTTCTTTTTTAAATATTTATATTCGTGTAATTAGAAAGAATAAATTAAAAAAAAAAAAAAACGAGAATCGAATGATTAACATTATCGATCGATTAAGTATCGATTAATAAGTATCGACGACAATTTTTTTTTTGCGAAATAATGATGATGTTTTTAATGCAAAAAAAAAAAAATTCATAAATCGATTCGGTTTTTTTTTTTTTTTTTTAAATAAAAAAACCATTAACATTCGAGTTTTTTTGAGATTATTTGACGCAATATTAATAATAATAATAATAATAATAATAATAATAATAATAATAATAATTTAAAGGATTCGTCTCGACGATTTAATTAAATTATTCATTGGACATTATATATTGACGTAATATAAACTCGTTAAATGGAATTTCGAAAAAAAAAGGAATAAAGATGAAAAGATCGTGGCAGAAGGTAAAAATTCCCGCCAAAATTTAAATTAATAAAATTTTCTTTTTTTTTTAATGAAATTTAATATGTGATTAAGTATTTTCACAAAAGTGGATGGTAAAATTTTTGTTTTTTTTTTTTTTTTTAAATTTTGGCGGGAAAAATTTTGTTTTATCAATGTGATAAGACAAAATCGGATAGAATGATAAGAGATAAGAGACAAATTGTTTTGTTTTTTTTTTTTAATTATTTAAATTTATTTATTGAACTATAAGAATTCGGGTCACATTTTATAATTTAGAAAAAAAATTTAAGAAAAAAAAAAAATTTTCTTTTTTTTTTTGGCTTTTTTTTTAATAAAAGACTTGATTGATTGATTGATTGATTTATTGGACCCTAGGCATTATTTTTTTTTTTTTTTTGTTTTGTTTTAATGAGCTTTCACGATAAGTCATTTTCGTTATGCTATTGTCATCAACTATCAACTATTTAAATACTCTCTTCATCGATTGTAAGAAACTTATTTCTTCTTGTTCAAGAACACGTTGCCGAGGCTGCTACCGAATCCGGAAGAGAAAGAGCTTCCGAAACCGTGAGAGGTAGAGGTGAATGGGGCGACGGTGGTAGAGAAACCAGAGAATGGGGTAACAGTGGAAGAGAATCCACCGACAAATGGGGCAACGGTGGTGGAAGAGAATCCGCTGGAAAGTCCGGATCCGACGACTCCACCTCCGAGAACACCACCTCCGACGGCGACTTCTGGTCCGGCAGCAACAACTCCGGAAACTGGGAGAGTTCCAACGACTCCTCCGTCAACGACTCCGCTAGACAAAGCACCTCCGACGACTCCACTTCCGAGAACGCCGCTTCCGACGAGTCCGCTTCCTACGAGACCACCTCCGAGAACACCACCTCCAACGAGACCGCTTCCGACAACTCCAGAAGAGTATTCAGAGACTCCGCCTCCGACGAGACCAGTGGTAGAGAAGACTGGGGTAGCAGTGGTACTGTAGAAACTGCCAGTGACGGCTGGGGCAGCAGTGGTACTGTAGAAACTGCCAGTGACGGCTGGGGCAGCAGTGGTACTGAAGAAACTGCCAGTGACGGCTGGGGCAGCAGTTACACCAGAGTATTCGAATCCAGAAACACCGACTCCGACACCAGTTCCAACTCCGACTCCGACTCCAGTTCCGACTCCAACTCCGACACCACCTCCGTTAAGGCTGACGGTGTTGACTGGGAGTGGTCCTTGAACATCGAAGGTGTTGACTGGCAAAGCAACACGGTTTCTGGTAACTTGGTAAGATTGGACTGGGACAACACGTTTGACTTCGTGGGATTCAACTCCTGGGACTGGGGTGACGGCAGAAACTTTGACTTGAGCGACTTTTTGGGATTTGACCAATTTTTGGACTGGCAATCTAACGTTGTGTGTTTTGTATTCGTAGTGTTGGTGTGGGACGACACGTTGTACGCTGACTCTTTGGACTTGTTGGACTGGGGTGACACGTTCGACGGTGACTGGGACGACGTGGCTGTTCTTGACGAATTTTTGTACTGGGACTTCGACTTGTTCGGTTTTGACTTGTTGGGTGACGACTGGGACGACTTTTTGGACTTGGAATCTTTGTACTTCTCTGACTGGGGTGACGGTGTCAACTCTGAATTGTTGAACGCTTTGGGATTTAACCAATTTTTGGACTGGAACGTTGACTTCTTGGCGTTGGACAGAGTATTTTTGGACTGGGACAGCGGTACGGACGGCGTAGTTTTCGTAGGTTTGGACTGGTTGAACAGATTCGAATTTCAATGGAACAACTTTTTCGGTTCTGACGTATTTGCGGACTGGAACGTTAACTCTTTCACTCTTGACAGCGTATCCAGAGACTGGGACAACGTTGTTGACGTCAAAGTGTTGAACGGTTTGTACTTGTCTGGCGTGACCGAGTTCGTATTGTTGAACTGGGACAGCTGGTCCGGCGGCTCCGAGGGCTTGGGTGCTGACTGGGATTGGTCCAGAGAGGGCAGAAACTCCGACTCCGACTCCGCTGACTCCGCTGACTCCAGAAACTCCGGTAACTCCGAGGTCGACTCCAGATCCGTAAGAAACTCCAGAAAGTCCAGAAACTCCGGTGACACCGAGTCCACCATCGTAGGCAACAGTGGTTCCAGTAACTCCCAAGTCACCAACCAAACCGCCTCCTACAACTCCGAGGTCACCACCGACGAGTCCACCGCTGACGAGACCACCGCTGAGGGCAGCGTCTCCGACGACTCCACCGCTGACGAGACCACCGCTGAGGGCAGCGTCTCCGACAACTCCGGTAGAGACAACATCACCACCGCTGACAAGTCCACCGCTGACTCCACTGCCGACAACTCCAGATCCGAGACCGACAGATCCGGTTGTGACAGAGTCACCGACGACTCCACCAGACAAACCCTAACAAATGGAAAACATTCAAATAATAATTTTTTCTTTTTCTTCCATAAATTATCCTTTTTCGGTTAAAACTATTTAATTCATGAATACTTACAGAAGACAAAAGTCCTCTTCCTAATCCAGCAACAGTGCCAGAGGCTTGAAGGTCAGCACTACCGCCAGATTTAAGACTGGAAGAGCTGGTAGATGAGTGGGAAACAGTTTTACTGTAACCTTCGGGTTTGGCAAAGGCGCAAGTGGCCACCAAAAGAAGCAAAGCAACCTTAAAAGAAAAATGAAAAATTATTCAACCTTTGCCTAAACTTACACATAAGGTAAGTATCGGAGTAAAGGCATTTTTAAAAATTTTTTACAAATATCCCATTAGCACGACAGCAACATATTATTATTATATCCATTTTTTTTTTTTTTTGAAATTCCTGTCGCTTGTCTCCCAAAAAAAATTTTTTTTTTTTTTTGTTTTCCCCCCATCGGGAAAAAAGAAAAAAAAATTTTTTTTTTTTTCCCTTTTTCCCTTTTTTTCTTTTGTAAAGACCCTGAAAAATCCTTAAAAACTTACCGTTTTCATTTTGCTGGTGTTTTTGTTTCTTCACAAAAGAGAAGAGTGACGATTGACATTTGAACTCAGCTTATATACCTTGAGACATTGGTTAAAAAAATGGTCCATCTGCTCACCATCACTTGGTCACCTCAATAACAAAACGTGACATGTCCGATATTAATGTTAGCAATCGTCAGCTTTCATTTTATCTTTTAATTATTTGCCGTCGAGTTTTTTTTTTTTTTTTTTCCACAATTTTCCAGTTGGATTCTTCAAGTTCTTCTTCTTCTTCTTTTTCTTTTACTTTATTATCATTATTATTATTATCTTTGTTGTTATTATTTTTATCGTTATTTCCTCGTCGTCGTGTTCCTTTACTGATTTATTGCATTCATTAAAAAAAAAAATGATAATAATAATAAACTACAACAGCGTAATTTATTCTGGAATATAAATCAATTCTTAAATTATTATTATTATTATTATTATTATTATTATTATTATTGTCACGTGTACGTGACTTTTTTCCCCCCTTTTCCGTTATATTTTTTCTTTTTTTTCTTCTGACACTACGTTAAAGGATAAGAAAATGTTTTTTTTTTTTTTTTTTTAACATTTCCCGAATCGATAATCATTTTTTTGGTTTCGAAAAATAATAATGATAATAATGATAATAATAATAAAAGTATTAGAAAACGAAGAAAAACGGGTCAAAAGAAAAATTTTGGATTCGATAATGCACTAAAAGTTTTTCCGGCGGGTAAGTTCCAACAGCAAAAAAAGGGCTACAGATAATACTTTTAAACCTTTTTTTTTTTCTCTCTCTCTCTTTCTCTTCTGTATTTCCTTTTCTCCTTCTTTCTCTCTCATTCTCTCTTTCTCTGGTTTCAATTTTTGTGTGCGTCTCTCTCTGCCTTTCCTTTTCTATTTCTTTCTCTGTCTTTATTTTTTGTCTTTCTCTCTTTCACTCTTTTTCTTTTTTATCTCTCGTTGTTTCTTTCTCCCATCTCTCTCTCTCTCTCTCTATTTCATTTTCTCTCTTCTTCTGTTTCCATTTTTTGTCTCTCTCTCTCTCTCACTACTTTTCTTTTTTATTTTTCATTGTCTCGTTCTCTTTGTCTTTTTCTCATTATTTTTTTTCTCTTTTTTCCTTTCTTTCTTTCTCTTTATTTTTTTTCTGCGTTTCTTTCTCTCTCTCTTTTTCTCTAATCCTTTTTCTGGGATTCTCTCTTTCTCTATTTCCTTTTCTTATTTCTCTCTCTCTCTCTCTCTCTCTTTCTCTTTATTTCGTTAATACAAAATCGAATTTTTTTTTTCTAAATCAGGATACAAAAAAAAAATTATTCCTTTGTTTATTAAAAAAAAAAAAAAAAAAAAAAAAAATTAAAAAAACGTTTTATTTTCACGTTTGGCATTTATTATTAATAATATTATCATTATCATTTTGTTGAATAAATTTTTCATTATTCTCCATGTGGTTTTTCCCTGACAAACAGGAATAAATTTAAATACATTAAAATTTATATAGAGAATAATAATAATAATAAAAAAAAAGTAATAATAATGATAATAATGATAATAAATGAAAATCCTATACGAGATCCTGTTTCCAACCACCAGATACGACAACGATGGACTCTCGGTTTATGTTGTCTAATGACACGCCTACAACATGGAAATTCATTTTATTATTATTATTATTATTATTATTATTATTATTATTATTATTATTATTATTATTATTATTATTATTATTTAATTTATATGAAAATTCCGGTGCGTAAAATATAATTTTTACATCATTTCATTTCATTTTTTTTTTTCGGATATGAGCAACAAACAAACAAACAAACAAACAAACAAACAAACCGACAGAAATATTATTATTATTATTAATGTTTAAACTTGTTTTTGTTTTTCGTTTTCGACGGTTACGTTGACATCTTCGAACAAAAAAAAAAAAAATTTTTTTTTGTAATGATTTACGCGCGTACGCACTCACGCACGCACGCACGCACGCATATTTCAAATAATAATAATAATGATAATAATATTTCATCAAATGTAATAAATAAATCATCAAATAATTAATTAATTAATTTAAAAAAAAAAATATAGGAAACTTTAATTTATTTACACATTTCTCGATATCTCGATTTCTCGATTTTTCGATATATCGATATATCGATTATTTAAAAAAAAACGAAAGGGGGATTCTTTTTTACACGTTTAAAAAAAAAAAAATAAAATACCTTGGCCTTTGATAAAGAACGACCGACGTTTTTTTTTTTATTTAAAACAATTACGAAAGGGGTTTTTCATTATTAAAAAAAAAAATGTCTTCTTTTCTAATCCCACGTTTTTATATTATTTTTTCAAAATTTCAGTGTCATTTTAATTATCGTAACAGAGTTGATGTAATAATTTACCGGTTTTTTCGATTCGAGGTAGTATTACTAATAATAATAATAATAATAATAATAATAATAATAATAAAGAGACGACCGCAAAATAAATTTTATTAAATTATTATTCACGGTTATTCATTTTTTTAAATAATAATAATAAATAAATTAATAAATTAATTAATTAACTAAATTTTATTTTTAACAAAAAAAAATTTTCCTTTCTCGTTTGGAAAATTTTTTTCGGAAAATTTTTTTCACTTAACCTCTCACGTAAAGGTTTAAGGTAAAAAAATTTTCATTTAAAAATAAAACCAGGAAGACGTCGAAACAAACAAAAAAATTATTATTATTATTATTATTATTATTAATATTTCTAGAAATTTATTTATTTATTCCGAAATTTACCGTTAAAGTAATTAATAATAATGATAATAAATTTTCTATCGATTTCGAATTCGAATTCGAAAAAAAAAAAAAAAATTAAATTTTCTGGTTTTGTGTTTCCTTATTGTATTAATAGCTCGTGACGTCACATTTTAATCCGCCATTTTGTATAAATACGTATATATATATAAATAAATTTTTTTTTAATTATTTACTTATTTGAAAATTTTTAAAACGCGAGAGTGGGATGGAGGGAAGGGAGGGGGGAAAGAGGAAAATTCAAAAAAAAAATAAATAAATAACGTCGTGTCAATAGTTAAAAACGAAAAAATAAGATGAAGAACGAACAATAATTTATACGTTATCAACGGTAATTTTTTTTTAACGGTTTTCATTTTTTGGGGAGAGGATTGGGGAGAATTGGGGGGGGGGTTGGGAGTTATCGTTTGTTTTTAATAATAATTAATTTGTGTAAATGATTTTTTAAAAAAATCGTAAATAATCGAAATTATAACATCCGCCATTTTAATAAACAAAAAAAAAAAAGAAAAAATTATTAATAATAATGATAAAAATTTTAAATGTAACCTTTTGTCTTTTCCCTCTTCTCACCCCGCCCACCCCGCTACCTATTGAATTAATTCTAGAAATCTCTATGGAAAATTTATTGATTTTTACTTTATCGATGATGATGATGACGATGGGGATAATAATGATGATGATGGTGATGATGATGATAATGACGATGATGTTGGTGATGATGGCGAGGATGATAGGGATGATGGTGATGCTGATGATGATGATGATGATGATGATTGTATTGGTAACAATGACGGCAACGATGATGATGTTGATGATAGGGATAATGGTGATGATGATGATGATGATGATGATGATGATGATGATGATGATGATGATTGCGATGATGATGATGATGATGATGATGATTGTGATGATGATGATGATGATGATGAAGATGATGATGATGATGAAGATGATGATGATGATGATGATGATGATGATGATGATTGTGATGATGATGATGATGATGAAGATGATGATGATG